GTGAGGGAGGCTGGGTGGGTATGGGGAGGGAGTGGAGGAGGTGGGAGAGGGAGCCCAAGGCCCTGAGTTTTGATTACCTGCAGCCTGTGGGAGGAGAGGAAGACAGAGGAGGGGGAGAAGGGGGGGGAAGGGCAGGGGAGGGGAGCCTGTGCAGGGCTCCGTACCCCAGTCTCTTCTGTTCCGGTATCTGCCCAGGCTGCCATGAGGGGCCAGGCACAGCACTGTCCAGCTGGGCACACTGGTCAGGAGCCCAGACTCCCCAATCTCAGTGCCCAGGTGATACCCCCACTTTCATGCCTCCACCCACAGATGGGGTCTCTGGGAGTGAATTGGCGTGTCCAATGGGGTGGGGGGCTCACAGCCCCTGTCCTCACAGGCTGCTCCATATCCTCTGGCCCCTACCTGAGGACCAGAGCAGTCCTGACCAGTCTCCCACTGCTCCCATGGTGCCCACACCCCTGACGGCCCTGTAGAGCCCTGCACCACCTCCTCCCAGTCCTTAACATCCATCTGCCTCTGTGTTCCCTGCCTTGCTCCCCACTGGAGGGGGTGGTGCCAAGACCATCCCTGGGGCTGCTGGCTCAGCCACAGCACAAGCACCCAGAAGGGGTCCATGGGCAGGAGTGGGCAGGCAAGCCCTCTGAGCCCCACCCCAGGGAGTTTCCTGGGACCCCTTAGGTAATAACCTCATAAGGGGTGATTTGAGGAGTGGTTTAGGAAGGGCAGCCCCCTAGAGAAATCTGAATGAAATGTGAATTCTTTGGGTGGAAAGGATTTAACATCTGGAAAACAGGTGGAAAGCACAGGGTGAGGGGTGTGAGGATGAAGTAAGCACCCACAGTTCTAGACCTGGGGGTAGGGCAGCTGGGACAGGAGTGGCCAGTGTGGCCACTGTCCCCTGGGCATCCACATGGCATCAGGTGGATGGAAACCCTGAGGCCTGTGCACAGTAACATCTGCCTTCACCCCTCCAATACAACAACCAGGGCAGAGTGGGTAGGAGGCTCATGGCACAGCCCAGAGGGGGCAGGCCCCAGGCTGAGCAGAGCCCTCCCCACTCCTACCCTTTTCAGGTCCTTTAAACAGTGGTCATTCAGTGTTTCAGTCTCCCAGTCCATTTGCCATCCCACTTTTGTACAGGGAGTTCTCCTGGAACCTTTCTGTAATATTGGACAGAAAGAGCCCACCCCTTCTGACATAGCTGGGCTCCTTCCTGAGCACAAGGACACCAGCACTGAGGGCCTTCAGACCCTCTCACACCCAACTCAAGGCCACTCCCCTCCCTCTCATTCCTCAACTTCTCTGCTGCCTGCCCCCAGCCTCATGATCCCTCCTCCAGAAAGCCCAGGAGCCAGTGGGGACACTAAGGCAGCTAGTGCAGAGCAGCCACCTGCCCTGGGACCCAGCTGAGGCTTAGGTCAGCCATACAGGTCCCTGAACTCTGCCCCTAGGCCAGGCTTCCACTAGACAGGGGGGCTCAAAGCGGAGCCCCTGGAACCCCACCCATGGGATCGAACACTAATCTACCCACATTGACTGTCCCAGTGACCATGGGAAGGGCATCGTGGAGCATAGGCCAGGGTATAGGACGGTACACTCTTGGCACTCCAGGCCTGAACTGGGGGGCAAGAGGAGAGGGGCTCAGAGGCTGGAAGGGTGGGTTCCAGTCACTCTTACCTACACAGGTACTGGGGTGTGGGTCTGGGCCTCTTCTCACATTAAGCCCTTGAGGGAGCATAACTCTGGGTCCGTAGAGATGTGGGGCTCAGACTCCCCCAAGTGACCCTCCACCCTTCCCTGGAGGGCTGGGCAGAGGCAGGAGTCTTGAATCTCTCCCTATTAATATACAGCCTATTGACCTATAATAACAAAACAGCAAGTTATTTTACCAGCAAAATGGGTTCACTCAGGAATAACAGGAATTGCAATTTGGGACATGCAAGCTATGGTGAACCCATAGGCAAGTCTGAAGAACAAAGAAGAGGAGCATTACTTTACAGAGAAAAAGGTGAGTTGGAAAGGTTGTTATAAACAAAATGTCCACTGGAGGAAACTGGAGTTCTAAGTGTAGTGGCCACTGTCCACTGAGTGTAAATTATTCAGGAGGCTTTGGCTACAAATAAATGATAAATATTTATTCAAGGGCCTTAGGGTTTGCAAACCAGAAGCACAACTCAGCAATACCCACAGTATTCCCAAGAAGAAAGAAAAGCTAAGAGTTCTTATAGAAAAAAGTACATTCTTGAGAAGACTCAGTCCTTCATTCTTTGCTTCAGGATTGGTCAGAAATGGTGATCTCTCAGATCTCAGGTAGTCTCAGGCAGTCTGGATACAGGAATAGTCTTTCCTGATGTGATAGGCAGTTAGACATGAGCAGAGCAAGGACAATGGGCCAGGTACATAGGGCTTTTTATAGGTCCTCACTCCAAGGGTGACCTTTCCTCCCCTAGCATATCT